CAGAGTAGCTGACAGTCCACAGCTCTGACCGTCTCTGTACTCACTGTTTTCATTCAGATTTTTCCACTAGTTGGTGCCTAATCCACTTCTGTATGTTGTTGTTGTTGTGTGCTGTCAAGTCAAACCTGACTCATAGCGATCTCTCCTTGGGTTTCTGAGGCAGTATCACTATGGAAGTAGATTGCCCCACCTTCCTTCTGTGGATTGACTGGTGGGTTTGAATTGCCAGCCTTCTGGTTAGCAGTCAGGTGCCTTAGGCACTATGCCACCAGAGCTCCTAATCCACTTCTGTACACTTCCCTTCAAAGCTCAGGGCTCCAGGATTATTCTGTATCTCTGTCAGTTGGTTTTTCTTCTCTTTGTTGAAGAGGGTCTGTGTCGCTTGTTGGCCTCCATCTTACTAGAAGTCTAAAGTTGCTTATTGAAGAGGATGAAAAGTATGAAGGTCAGAGCAGGAAGCTGTAACTTTATCCTTGAACTACTTTCCTGAAGGTTTACACAAGACCTCTGAATATAAATTAGTATCCACTCAACTTTAAATTCAGATTCCTGACGTATGACTCCAGTGCCTGTTGAAAACTCAGAAACCAAAGAGAGAAAAGCATGAAATTGCCGCAGTAGCATATGTTCTCAAAACCATAAATAAGACCAGGATGTAATGGGCACAGAAGTTACAGTGGCAACTGCCTACAGACAGACAGCGTGAACAATCTTAAAATCTCTCAGCGACACTTACCTGGCTCATGAAACTCCATGTCACTCAGGGCAGTTAGGGAAGTACGCAACAAGAATGAAAAGACCAATGACCCTACGTTCCTTCCCAAAAACAAAATGCACGTATTTGAAAATAAAAAACACAAACGCTTATGAAGGTGTTCTTTCCCCAGGTGTGACAGGAACGGCACAATCCATATGGAAAAAATAAGTGGTTGCTTTTAATGATTTCTGTATAAAAGAAGAATAAATTTTATGGTACAATCAGGTAGACTACTTCGTACAAAATTTTACTCATGTACAATGAATGTAATTTTCTGCTCCACAAA